AAGAACAAATCTGTGTGTACCAACGGTTCTTGCATGAGGCCCATTGTTACAACAAAAAATAATCTACCAAACACTAATTTCATTACTCTTTGTGATACGTTATTTGAAACAAACAACAGAAACTATGAACAAGAAAACAGCAGCGTGAAGGCTGACTCAGCATTGACATACCTAGTACAAACTAAGAGAAAATGGTGAAAGGTGTTAAGTATTGTTACATTCAGAAATGGGTTGAAAATTTTTAAATGATGCAGCAAAATGTACATCATCTTMTACACAGTAGCTAGGGATGCAACTATACAGAAAATGTACTGTTTAATACTTTAGTCTCACGGTTCAATGATTTTTCTATGCAAAAATGAGAAATGTCTATGCCCAACTTGTAATTTATTGAAATTCATTTTCATTTCATTTGTTTAACCTCAAAAGTTCAGTTTTTAAATTAAATGTTGCAGAAACAGCAAGTTTCTCAGTGGATCTGTGCTCCACAACGCAGCCTAGGTGGAGTAGTCGAACACCGATCCACTGATCCTTCAACACAGAGCATCTTCAGAAGACAAGCTGATGAAATAAACGTTTGAAATCTGTATTGTTCCATACATAGTGCATATTAGAGCACTGTATTGAATGATTCAATAAAGATGTAAGTATTGTTGCACCCCTAACAAGAGTGGCTTTACTTTTAACTACTTCATGATCAACTTGTCTTTGTAAGAACAAACAACTCCTAATTTACCCATTTCTGAGGTTAGCTGATTGTTGGCATCTAAAACTAAAACATTTTWAATAAAAATAGAAATGAGAGTTCAGTTATACCTGGTTATCCTTGAGCAGGTTTTCAGGGGTGTGACTGGTTCGTGAGGGGAGGGGAGGTGGGAGGTCCAACTCAGAAAGGCTTCTCTGGTCTTTCAGGGTCTCACCACCTACACACGAGAATATACTTTTTTCCTTTTTGTGAAAACTTGAGTTTTAAATAACAAAGGACAATTATTGCTTTATTCTTTATTTTCTATTTTTAGTGTATTCCATGAATCTATTCATCCATTTTCAGTAGAGGGTCACACAGAGCTGATGCCCATCTCCAGAGGCCAGCAGGAGGGAAGTCAGGTACACTCTGGACAGGCCACCAGTTCACAAGGCCACAATGTTTGCATCAACCAGGAGACCACACTTTTGGATTTTGATCATGTAAAAAAAAAAATCCAAAGCAAATGTCTCTAAATACAAAACGTCCTGATGCATCTCAGTAATCCAGGTAAAAAAAAAACAAAAAGAAAAAAATTGTTCTTGATAGAGAGGAACGTTGGTTTGAGAGAGGAGTAAAAGAAGCCATTTTTGTGAAGAAAGACCGTCCATCAT